ACACACACATACACAAACACATACACACACAAGCACCCACGCATAAACACGCATGGGCTGCAGTGTGCGCTTACTATGAGAACTTAATTGTTTAATAACTTTTTTTATGGACGTACGATCTTCATGAAACTTTCAGATTATGATTATAACATGGATATGCATGTAATTGCCAAAGCACAAGTCTCTAGTATTTGAAATACGCTTTTTACAAAAGTGAGGGTGAGGGGGTGAATTTAAGGGTGGGGGGTAAATTTTAACAAAAACCGAAATTGTATAAATTGCATATAAGCATACATTAAAAATTTGGAGACTCTAGCAATAAAGGTGTAGAAGATATAATTTTATAACTGGTTTTCGATAAGGTTTTTTATCGATAAAAAAAGATCGGGATGAGTTATCGATTTTTAATGATAAACTTGATATGCGCGCTGTAATTACGGACATTTTAAAAAAAATTTGAAGTCTCTAGCTCTTATATCTTCTGAAATCGACGCGTTCATACATACGGACAGACGGACAGACGGACAGACGGACGGACGGACAGACGGACAGACGGACAGACGGACAGACAGACGGACAGGGCCAAATCAACTCAGCTCGTCGCCCTGATCAAGAATATATATACTTTGTGGGGTCTGCCACGCCTCCTTCTCCCTGTTACATACATTTCAACAAAACCATTATACCCTGATTTCCCATTGAAAATGGGTTCAGGGTATAAAAAGAGAGGGAACAGAGGCAGATAGAGCATATTGTCTGTGGTTAAGAAGTTCTTGGGCAACATTTAAAAACAAGAAAATATTGCAGTCGCGCACATTGCCACGAAATTTGATTATGTAATTTGTTCTTAGCTTCTTCTTGCTATTCTTTATTTCTGTGCTGTGCAGTGTACACTGCCCACATTTGAGATCAAGTGCTAGCAGCCATTGACAGACGTGTGTGCGTCTCGTGCGCGGGGGGGGGGGGGGGGCAAGGAAGTGTTGATGATTGTCGTTGGCGTCTGTTGAAGATGTTGTTGTCGGGTCTTCCATGCAACATGTGGGCGTTGTTGCCACTTCTAGTACCCTAGTTGCAGTAGTTGCCGTGCCTTAGTATACATCATATGCAGAGACATACATACATACATTTATAGGCATCTCTTCGTCTGTGTTGCCAATGCCAATTGCTAACAACAACAACAACAACCGCAGCAACAACAAAATGTTGATCCAAAACAATCAAAAGCCGGTCAATGTCTGCGCCAACATGTTTGAGAGCTGCGCTAGCATGTTCGATCTTTACAACGTGCCTGGCCTGATATGTTGCAATCCAGCGCAGAAGTGCTGCGCGCGCTCTCTTCGGCCCGAGCAACATGTTGCTAGTGTAAGTGTCTAGACATGTTGCGCACTCCGTTACATGGCAACAAAAACAATTGCTCTAGCCAAACGTATTGAAAATATAGTATATAAATATATTACGCAAAAGTATTTACTTAATATTTATTAATTGATTTTTGATATTTATAATGCCGTCTTATTGCCCACTGCTTGCTGCATCGTGCAAGCCGTTCTCATGCACCTACGCTCTCTCTATTTCTTTCAGTGCAGACATGTGCTCTCAACATTGCGGCGCATCAGTTCAGATTTGTTGCTGCCATTCAGATTCAGTTGTTATCTGTAAGTCGCCCCGTGTTGTCGAGTGTGCGGATTAAACGCATTCACCATACGCATCGCTCCCTATACTAAACCAAGGGTATTCGGTATTCTATTTGATTGAGGTAAACAAAACAAAGGCGTGCAATATAATAATACCAAAAGCCTCTGGGCATTGCCTGAACATATATGAGTCTCTCGTGTGGCATATGCCTAAGATAATGTGCGTGCAATAAAAAAACGGTAAATCGCGTGTAATTTCAAAACATAAATAAATCATATTTGGAAACTTGAATATTAATAAAAAATAAAATAAAAAATAGTTTGTCAAAAACAAACATTTTTTTTTTTTCTCAATTTGAAAATAGTCAAAAATTAAAATGTTTCATTGAAAATTTATTTTTCTTGGTGCTTTGGTGTAATCAAAAAAATTTTTAATCAAAAACAAGTTGATTAAAACTATTTACAATAATTCGTAGTGAAAGTGCATTTTTTATTTTGAAAATTGTGAATTAATTTAAATAAACAAAAAAATTGTTTTAAAATTAAAAACGAATAAAATTTTATCAAAATATTTAAGATTTATAATAAATTAACATGTTAAGTGAAAATTAAAATCAAAGAATAAATTTTACAATCTAACTAACAAATTTGCAATATTAAATTTGCAATATTA